GTGTATGTATGATCAGGCGCTCCTTGGCCCCCCTCCTCTTCCCCCATGGTCCATGGTCGAGGATGCTAGGGTTTAGGGTTACAAATGATGAATGATTAAGGCTGATTGAGGTTAGATTCAAGTTGAAAGCAAGTCTGGCTGTAACTACAGCAGTCTGAAAATAGGGTGATGGTGTTCTCAATAATTATAAGATTCGTAGCTGTTGAGTTTGGGGTTTCGGGTTTAGGGTGGAAAGGTATACGGCTTCGAGTCGAGAAGGGTTGAGGGAGGGTTTGAGGTGTAGGTTGGTTAGGGTGAGCCTGCATTTAGGCGGGGTTTAGGGTTGGGTGTAGGGTTGACAGTACAGGGTAAGCTTAATGAAAGCGGGAACACGCCCCACATTGTAGGCTTTATGGGTTGGGCTTGCGCAGGGCTAGCATAAGATCCCGGCCCTCTCTATGACCCCTGGCCGCCCCCCACCAGCACCCCACCCGCCACGGCCCCGAACCCTCTCCGCACACGCCAGCCACCCCCGCTCCCCCCCCACCCCTACCAGACCATACCAGGGGGGGGGGGGACCGCAAGACGCCTGACCATCTATATACATCTATATATGTATGTATACGTCTACGTCTATGCCTTTATCTATGTCTATGACTCTGTGTATGTGTATGAGTATGTGTATGTGCATGTGTACGTGTACGTGTACGTGTACGTGTATGTGTGTGATGTGTATGTGTGTTTGTTTGTTTGTTTGTATGTATGTATGTATGTATGTATGTATGTACGTATGTATGTATGTATGTATGTATGTATGTATGGATGTAAGAATGTGTATGTGTGTATTTGTGCATGTGTATGTGTATGTGTGTATGTATGTATGTATGTATGTATGTATGTATGTATGTACGTATGTACGTAACGTTACGTATGTACATCAGGACGTATGTACGTATGTATGTATGTATGTATGTATGTATGTATGTATGTAGGTATGTATGTATGTATGTATGTATGTATGTATGTATGTATGTATGTGTAATGTACATATATATATATATATATTTGTGTATATTTCAAGCTTATTTTATACTCGTGAAGAGACACAGCACCTGCGTGTAAACACCTGATCATGGTGAGCAGTTCATTCTTTCGCCAGGCTATCGCACGACTCATGGTGGCCAACATTCACTACACTCAGCCTCGTGGCTGCAAGAGCCTTTGGCCACGTGCCTCGCGCATCTGATATTGGTGTTGCTCTGGCAGGAAGGACTTTACCCAGGCGGTTATGGTCTCCCGAGAGGCCCGCTACCACGGCCGACCGAGCGAATGGAAACATGTTGGGAGGGCAGGCATTGTACACTCCGAGTCAAACAAACCCTGGACACTTGGGTAAGTTCTTCTGTACTTGAGACGGCGACATCACAGGCGCAGGCGCTGCTGCACGACATCGGCGCTTACGCCGACGAGGAGCCCTATCCGTCATCCCAGATGAGTATCTGAGAGATCCCAACACAGCTGCATTAGACTTGTGGAAGACAGTCGTTCGTCTGTAAATGAAGCCCTTGTCGAAATCCTGTAAAGCGTGGCAAGACATGCTGGCAAGGAGGAACGTGAGTTTGCATCAACGAACAGAGCTTATGCCTCTGCTCTTACCCTGGAGGCGTCTGCACTGCGCATCGTGGCGGAGGCCATCACAATTCCGATTTCACAGATGGCCCTTTATGAGACTCACGTCGAGGGCACGTTGCTTAAAAGAAGAGCGCCGCAGCGCTGTAGCGAGGGCCGGCCCTTCAGTTGACTTCCAAAAGCCTCGGCTGCAGGCGTATCTGGCAAATGGCGAGCTCCCTCAGGTTGGACATCTTTCGGTATTTGCCGTTTTGGAATCTCCGAGTCTCCGAGTCCGAGGGATGCCTTTGTTTGCAGGCGCTGAAGGCCGCCGACAGGGTGCCGGCCTTGTCGTTGATACCATGATCCCACAAGTCTGATCATCGCTCGGGTTCTCATGGCTACAACACAGAAGCCTCCAAAAGCCTCTGCCCAGTCCGTACGACTTTTCCGGGGCAAGCAGAAAGACTCCGAGGAGGCTCCCCTCCGGTGCGGAAGAACAGCAGTTTTAGGGTTTGGGGCAGCCAAGGGTTTGGGCAATGAGGCAGCCTGTGGCAAGGTCATCTTGAAAGGCATGTTTCCCATGCTTTGTTGCAGATCTTCGGACTATACCATGGCATGCTTTTAGTTGCCAGGATATGCTACACGAAACCATGGCATGGTCTTCCGGGTCGTGGTTTAGCATGCTAAGAGAGTCTTATGAAATGCCACGAAGTGCCACGACTTGATGCCTCGTCAGGCGCAGTCCCTACAAGTCGTGGCCACGATCAAGCTGCAAGTTCTGGCCCAGGCGCGTTTCGACTGGGAATCTGGGAGGCCTCGCCTATCGCCTCGCCTTTCGCCTTGCGAAAGCGAGGACAAGATCCGGGCCCAGCGCGGGGCCCCGGCCTTCGCCACGGCGCTCGCGGACGCCGAGCAGGCGGCCCGGAGCCCCAGCGGGAGCACGGGACGAGCACGGGACGAGCACGGGACGAGTCGGGGGTCGCTTGGGGGCCCACTTCGCTTTCTCTTTGACCGGCAGCTTTCCCTCAGGCCGAAGCGGCTGTCAGCTTTGCGCTTCCTCCTCGGGCTTCGGCTGGGCTTCTGCTGGGCTTTTGCTGGGCCTCGGCTCGAGCTCACTTTGGCCGCCCTCTGAGGCGGAAGAAGCGCTTCAACCAGCAGCTGGGGCAGGCGCCACCTTCTCCGTCTTCCAGTCCCAGCGAAAGACCGCAGCTTTGGGCCCCCGTTCTCCGAGGCTCTGCTCATCGCCGGCCAGGTGCAGCTCACCGGCCTCCGGTGCCAATCTCGGCTCTTCAACCATCCACACGGCTGCTTTGAGACTTACGGCCGCTGAGATTTTTGAGCCGAGGTGCGACGATGCCCTCAAGACAGCAGAGGAGGCATGCGCTGAGAGCACCTCTGCTGCATGCGTCTTCATGCGCTGCATCGCTGGCCAGGCCATGGCGATCTTCGAGGAGTTGGGCAGCGAGCGGGACAAGGCCAACGTGATGTGCCTGGAGGCCGCCACTGACATGCCGCGACCGTCTCCGCTACCGTGTCTGCGTGCTGCCAGCCTGTGCCCGCCTGTGCCTTCCTCCCACTTCACCAGGCGGATGCCCACTTCACCAACGGCAATGCCAACAAAGCCTTGGTGATTGTCAACAAGGTGCCGACTGGAGTCCAGTCGCCGCTTGACGGTGTCATCCGGGAGTTTTCTTCGTGGCGAGGCCTTGGCGATCTTCCAGGAGTACCGAGACTCGCGAGGCGAGTGGATCGCGCGCTCGGCTCAGCGGCGCAGAGCGCCCCTCTCCTCTGCTCCACGCTCGGAGACGCGCGGCGCGCCGAGGATGAACATCCTGGAGCAGATCACCGGGCCACCCGAGGCCCAAAAAGGGCTTCAGCCCACCTCCCTTCGACTTCCTTCATTTGGGCTGGCGGATAGCATTGCCAAGGATTTTGATGAGCTGCATATTCAGCTGTCAACCGCATGCCGTGCAGCACTTCCTTGAGTGGATAGAACTATGGGTTCAGTATCCGAAGCAAGTGCGTGATCCATCAGAGATTCACTTTCATTGGGTTGCTTGTAGTTCTCGCCAAGCTTCCGTCGTCATTCTTTGGTACTTTCTGCTCTCCATGCTGCAGGCAGACGGCGAGAGATAGAAAGCTTGGTCGGTGCTTCTTTGCCTGGCCGGCCACTTTGCTCAGGAGCAGCCCCTTCCGGGCAATGAGTGGACACCAGAGCAGTGGGCAGAGTGGCAGCGTTGGCAGTGCGGCACCGAGAGCTAAAATCAAAGCTCAGCCTTGAAAGCGACCCTTCTTGCTTGCGAGGCAGCAACAACAACAGCAGCAGCAGGGCGCCGGACAAATGCCGCAAGCGCTTCAGCGCCAGCAGCAGGCTTGCGTGCTTGCATGTGCTTGCGTTGGGCCATGGCTTGTGAGACATCGGAGACCTGCCAGTGGAGGAGCCGCGAGCGAGAAGACGAACCGATCCGGGCCAGAAGCGAGAGACCAAGTTTCGGGACCGAAGAGCTGGGACTGGGAAATCTTCCGCTCTTGCGGATTTATGTTGGCTGTCGGCTTCGAGGCTGGACATTGCGAATGTCAGCTCGGGGCTCGGGCCGGCTCGGGGACGCGCCCCTGCAGTCTCCTGCGGTCACGGTCCTGCTGTCCATGTAACATTGGCGATTGCTGAAGGCACCGACACAGTTCGAAAACGCGTCGAGGAGATCGTGAGGTGGACGTGCGATTTCTAGGGACCGGCTTCGTCTTCGTGGGTTTGCCTCTGACAGGTTTACAGCCGACTTGGAGGACTCCGAGCAGATCGACCTCGATCAGCCCTTGATGCAGGTGGGACGAAGACGACTAGGATTCTTTTTCCTTCACGGCATTCGACCTGGGCTCAGGTCGGCGTCACGAGCCGCACTGCCGTGGGCCTGCGGAACATGCTCAGCGAGGAGGTGGGCGGGCCGGCGGGGTCTGGCTCTACTCCTCCGCTGCGCTCGCTCCACGCTGCATTTCGCGTGTCAGAACTCGTGTCAGATGCCTGGTGTGGACTTGCCGTTTACGCTTATCTTCGATTACCCCTCCGTGGCCTCCATCGCCGCTGCCCGGCTGAGATGGAATCCGCTGGGCCTCTTTTTACGTGCCTAGTTTCATGTCTAAGGATCACGTTATGGCCTGGGCCTCAGGTTGGGCTTACACGGACGCAGCTTGCCGGAGCTTGAAATCGCTGCCTGACAGCTGTTGGTGAGCCACTCATGGTGATAATCAGGCCGCACGGGCCAGCGACGCTAGGGAGCGAGGGTGGCATTGCATGTAACCGCAGTATTCGCTAGCCGCTAGCGATGGAAGCCAGAGGTCTCTCCGAGTCCTGCCGAGCTCGTAATCGGCATTAATCGGCCTTCTGTTTGTGTACACTAGCGTCGCCAGCCGCCATGGACGTCTTTTCACTGTTGCGCCGCGGTCTGAGTGGCGACGTCTGCGAGTCGCTGAGCTTCGCGCCGCTGCGCGAGGCGCTGGGACTTCGGGAAATGTACATATGTGTACTACTCGACATTCACCACATGCATCAACAGCTCGCCTGGACATTCTTGACACCCCATGCTACTTGGTGTTGCGGTGAGGGGAGCTACTCCAGACTCACCACATGCATCAACAGCTTGCCTGGACATTCTGGACACCCCACGCTACTTGGTGTTGCGGTCAGCTTGCACGGAAAATTCTGGACACCCCACGCTACTTGGGTTTACGGTCATGTGAGCTACTCCACACTCACCGCATGCATCGTGGGGGCGGTCCATGTGTATATGTGAGTTACTCCACACTCGCTACATGCATGAACAGCGCATTTGAGCATTTTGGACACGCTGCTTGCGGTGGACATGTGAGGAAGTCCACACTCACCACATGCTTCCAAAGCTCGTTTGGACAGGTTACGGTCGCGGGGGCGTCCAAGTGTGCGTGTGAGCTAGCCTGCATGCACTGCGTGCATCAACAGCTCGTCTGAACATTTCGGGCACTGCTTTGTGCTACGGTCATGGGATCCAGTGTACTCCGCACTCACCACATGCATCAAAGGCTCGCCTTGACGCATCCCTTGTATATGCGAGCTAGACTGGCCACATTCATCAACAACTCGCTTGGACCTTTTTTGCACAGCTTGGTGTTACGGTCGTAGGGGCGTCGAATGTAAACATGTGAGCCACTCCGCGCACCACATGCATCAACGGCTCGTCTGGTTATTGTTGGGGACAGTGCTTGGTGCTGCTGCTACGATCGTGGGGGCTTCCAATTTATGCTACAGTCGTGGAGGCGTTTCAAGGACATGTGACGTAGTCCGCACTCAGCACATGCATCAAAGACTTGCTTAGACATTGTGGCAGACACGGCTTGGTGTTGTAGATGTCAGTTAGTCCACACTCAGCACATGCAGCAGCTCGTTTGGACACCATGGGACACAGTGCTTGGTGTTGCGGTCGCAGGGGCATCAAAAGATGTGAGCTGCTCAGTCTGGGCTGCAGGTGGCGCCTCTTGTCCACAGCTTCACGGGCTCGCTGCCAGAAGTCCTTCTGCAGAGCTGTCGTGCAGAGAAGCTGGAGGCAGTGGAGGAGATCTGCTCTTATGCGCATTTCTGGACACTGGTCGGTGTCTGGTGTACTCTGAGATCCGCACGCGAAGAAGTCACCCCTCTTCTGCTCTGCATTCTGTCAGCCTGCGTCTCAGCTCCGGGCTGGAGGTGGACTTGGTTCGCTTGGCTCAGCTGCTGGCAGCACGCTTTCTCAACGACCCTGGGCTTCAGCACACAGTCACGAGCTGCAACTGCCACTTTTCATGGCCCCTGATAAGCTCAGGAGTGCCTTCAACTGCAGCGGGCCTCCAGCGAGATGCGCTTCGCCTTGGAGGAAGCCACCGAGCGGAAACCCGAGAGCTCTCCGGTTTAAGCGGTGTTTTCTTCGCTTCCCTGCCGCCATCTGCCGCCAAGGCCCGGACGGACGGAGACCACGGCGCCGCAGCTGCAATCCCTGGAGCCCGAGCCTGAGCGTGGAGAGAGCCACTGCCGCCGCTGCTCGGCCGCTCGCCGAGGCTCCCGAGGCTCCGCGCGCGCTGCAAGGACGCAGCCGCAGCCTTCGGACCGGTCCCATCGTCCCCTTCGGGCTTTCGTGGCCAGGAGCTGGAGCAGGAGCTGCAAGAGCGCCGGGAGCGTAGCCCGGGGAGTGGCACCCTCGACGAAGCGGAGGCGCGAATCGCTCCCGCGCACGGAGCTGCGTGAATTTTCGGAGATCTGTCTCCAGGCGCTGCGCGCGGCCCTGGGCGCGAGCCCGGCCGCTCAGTGCAGCCGCTGCCAGGCGCGGGGCGGACCCGCGCGGCCCTTCGCGACCCTCGTGCGCAGCGTCTCGTGCGCTGCGCGTCTCGCATCCTGCGGGGAGGCCCTGGAGGCCAAGCTCCGGGAGCAGGCGCTCTCCGCTCGGCTCTCCCTGTCGCCCTCGCTGTCGCCCCGTCGTTTCTTGAAGCTCTTCTGGGGCCTTTTTTTCCCTTCTTCTGTTTAGGAAGAGAGGATGCTGGAGCGACAGCTCGAGCCGCTGGCGTCAAGCCCGCGAGTGAAGGTTCGGGGACGAGATGGGACGAGTCCCTGTGGATGCACGGATGCACCAGGAAGCAGCCCCTGCGGATCCGGCACTAGCACGGCTCCTCGTGGGCGAGGCGGCCTCAGTGGCCGGACATGGCCAGACTCAGAGCCACAATCTGCCAGATCTTCAGGTCGCGTTTTGATTCGAATCCGGCCGGAGGCGCCGCCTGTAGTGCGACGCCGTGCTGCTGTGGTGCTACAGTCAGCTTGGCGGCGACGAGCCGCGGTGCTGCGCCGAAGCCTGAAGTGCGAAGTGGAGAAAGTTGGAGAATGGGAAGGATAGTGACTCGTTGCGATGCCGCGATGCCGAGGCTTCGAGCGCCACTTGGTGGGACTCGTCTTCCCTGCCAGGCCACCGCACAGGGATGCACAGGGTGTGCACAGCGAAACCATGTGCATGTCCAGAGTAGGTGCGCGCCTTAAACGCTTGCACCATCTTCATGATCATGAATTAGCAGATGGGTCGGGCATTGCGTGTCTGCACTGTGCTTCGCAAGCAAGAACAGGTGCACACGTACGTGTTTGAGTCCAAGCATAGGTGCATGCATGCATACGCATGTATATAATTGAGGCATACACAGGTGACTTCAAGCGACCATGGTGACCACATGTGATGACGATGACAAGAATGATGGTGATGATGATGACGATGATGATGGTGATGGCGATGATGACGACGACGACATCGACATGTTAAGCGTTTCTACATGTACTTGTGAGCATGGTGATCGTGACTCCATCGCGATGATGGTGTCGCAATGTAATTTCTGAGCCAGGAATGACGGGCGAAAGCTGAGTGGCACTGTCGGCTCTGTTCGGCTGGCACAGGACCCCTCGGAGTGCGCAATCCTGCCAACAGTGTAAGCTCCAAGAAGCTCGGTTTCGCATTGCATTATGAAGGAAACCTGGGGCTGTCGCTTCCGACTTTCAAAAGGGTGTGCCAAGTCGTCTTGGGCGAGTTCCGAGACTAACCTGCGCAGAAACTTCAGAAAGGATCATCACCGTGCAGCATGCCTCGTTGTGTTTTGTTCTGGATTCGGTCGGCTTTTGCCAGGCTCTTGCAGCCCGGGTCTTCCGTGCGCTGCGGCGCAGAGGGCTGGACTTCGAGGTGTTGCCCGGATTTCCGAATTCGTTCCATGTGTTTGGGATCAGCCGTCGTCCTGAAAGAGATTGTTACATTGTCGGGTGCAGAGACAACTCGGCTTCGCATGCAAACGTGTCAAAAACCCAGGGGATGTGGATCAGTGGGGGCCCCAACCCCTTCGTCGTCATTAGGATCACCATTGCTCCCTCTTTGGACCAGCCTCTGAGCGCGCCGCTTGCAGGCCGCCTTCCGCTGTGCAGACACAGGCTCCTTTTTCAACTATTGCCCTGGGGTGTGGCAATCGTCCATGCACTTTTCAGCCAGACCGGCACGGTTTCGCTCCTTCGAACCGTTCGCAGCTGTCGCCCGGGCGATCCGGGCCAAGAAACTATAGGTCCTTGCGCCACATCAAGTAAGGCACAGTTCTGCAGTTTCGCGAGCTCAACAAGACTACTTCTCGGCAGTGTGACTACCGGCCATCATCATAGTTTCCAAAATACCGATGGTCGTCAAACCATGTGCGTGTGTGTGTGTGTACAACTACAATACTACAAGAGACCAGCTTTGCTTGGATTTCCGAAGCTCTTGTGCATGTTTACCGACATTCCCGACAAGGCTACGAAGACGGTGATGAGCACCCTTCGGGACGCATCCGTGTAGGCTGGGCAATAGCAGATTTCTGTTTGACAGATAGGGCAATGCACGGACGCCTGGCTCCCGTGAGGTCAGTTTCTTCTTTTCCTCTGCCGCCAGCCGGGCCTGGTGCTGGCCCCTGCGGAGTCTGCGGCTCTGTACCTTGGCCTTGGCATCGCATCGCTTTGGCTTTGATGTTGTCGTGAAGGCAGCAGAACGCCAGCAAACTCCGATCGCCAATTTTACGTACTCTGATGCTTCCGGCAACATCATCAGAATCTCACCTCACACTCTGCACGAGCTTCCTATAGGGTGTCAGCACAGCCTTGAGAGCGGGAGCAGAAGTGATCCCTGCTGCGGCCCTGCGGGCCCTGCGCCGGTCTTGGCAGGCTCCGGCTGCTGAAGCGGCGCGACCGCGGGAATCGCAAGGCCTCCGACGAGAAAGCGCCGCCGTCCACGGCGGCCGAGGCCTCGGACTCTTCGGACTCCTCGGACTGGGCCGGGCAAAGAAAGCCACTCTCCCCTGCCGAGGCCTCCACGGATCTGCAGGAGGCCGGCGGGCAAAGGAATTTGCTCCCGTTGACCCGGCTCGGCTCCTCTCCAGGCCTGGCGCTGGGAGATGCCCTATGACTTTGCGAGGCAGCTGCAGGCGCGGGACATCTCAGCATGCCTTCACTGGCTGAGCGGGCTCTAGGACTCTGCCGGAAGATCTGGAATTCCTTTCTCCGATCTCGTTGGCTTGTGCAAGCTCCGGTTTTCTAGATTGGCAGATCAGGAACGGAAGGAACTTTGCATGCGCCAGATGCCACAGGAAACCAACTAGTAACGATAGCTCGAAATTCGACGGCCATAACGCACTGGCCAGCTTAACTCACAAGTGCCGCACTTCTTGCCGTTAACTCTTGTGACTGTGTCCTTTGTTACAACCTTTGAAACATTTTGAAACTAGACTATTCTACAGCCTAAACTCAAAAGCGCATCTTGCCGCGGGGGGAGGTCGGTCGATTATAGGGTAAAATGGTAGGCCGAAGCGGCGGAAGCGAACCGCGGTAAAAGAGAGTTCCGCCTCCGCCCTCTTCCGGCAGGCAGCTGCGTCGCGCGAGTTCGGTCCTGCTCCGGCTTGCGAGGTGGAGAGCACGATGCGTTGCGGTGCGTCCGCTGCAATGCGTCGATGGCACTGCTCCCTGCAAGGCCCTGGAGGCTGTGGCGGAGCTCCTGCGGGGCCGGCGCTGTCGCTTCACCTGGGGCGACCTGGCCGCGAGCTGGGATCGACTGGTCAGGGACGCGGTCTTGCTGCAGCTGCTCGAGGAGCGCGAGCGTTTGCAGGCGGCTCTCGGGGACCGTGGTAAGTCGGGCACGTCCGGCACGGCCTTCCTTAGCGGTGAGCTGGAGTGCCAGCTGGCAGATTGTGAAGCTGACATGAAGGCGGTGCTGCAAGGACCAAGCCCTCCAGTCTCGGCGACGGCTTTCACGGCGCGGCTGCTGCGAGAGCAGCTTCCGCTGGCACCAGTGACGCTGCACGCGGCTTCCCGGGCGGCTTTGGACGGTGCCGGCGGTGCTGGCATTCGCCAGGGACAGGTGATGGACGATCTTCGGCAGCAGCAGGAGCTGAAAGGCAACCTCATTGGGGGCTTCGTGCGCTTCCAGCAGCCGCTCTCGGCCAGCCCGAGCTTGATCCACATCACTGCGACGCGTCCGGCGTGGACGTTGCGCTTGAAGGAGCTATCGGAGAGAGGCATGCTGGTTCAAATCTCTCCTCTATCACCCGCCGGCTGGAAGGACACATTGGGTTTTGTTGCGGGGGGGGGGCCTTTCTCTGCAGTGCTAGCTCTAGCGACTCTGGCTGCTAGCGCCACAACTGACGCTGTGCAGGAGGATCTCCAGCTCGCCTACTGCGCTGGGTCCGCGGAGGGGGTGGAGCACATCGGACCCAGCAAGGGAATCCGCACGGTGCAGGCCCGCCGCCACTCGTAGATGCTCTGTGTTGCGCCTCTTGCCCTCCTGTGCTGTAGGTGCACTTCATCCCCCGGCTCACACGCACGCCGGAGCTGGTGGCGTTGCAGACCTACGTCCGTCAGCGTCGAAAGGGAACTTCGGAGGGTCCGGGTCCGGCAGGGCCTGAGCGGGCTGAGCCTGAGGCGGTGCTTTGCCAGCTGGGCACCTTCGCCATCGCTGCCAGCCTTCCTGGCGACGGCCTGTCCCTGCGCGCCGTGCGGACTGGCAAGGTCGTGGCGGAGACCTCGGCGCGGGCCACCTTGGGGCGAGGCAAAGTGGCCTTGGCTCTTGCAGCTCGGACAGCCGGCGAACTGGAAATCAAGGCTCAGTGGGAGCCCACTGCCGAAACGGAGACGAAAGAAGCCAAAGCCCATGAAGGGGAGAAGCAGGAAGTGGGAGATTTTCTCTCGATCAGTCGGGTGAAGGTGGCGAGAGCCAGCTTGCGTGGCTTCGCCGTGCTGTTGCACCGGGATGCGCAGATGCTCCAACTGTGGTACGAGGCCGTGTCCTCAGATGCCACGACCTCCGCCAGGGCACTGCAAGCCCTGGTGTCTTTGCCAGAAGCCGAGAAAGACGAGGAGGCCCTGCGCAGCAAGGGCCTCCAAGCATTGAGCTTGGAGCTTCCAGAGCCGGAGATGCCCTGGAGCCCGGAAACCCCAGCCACTCAGCCGCAGATCGCATGTGACCCCGTGACCTCACGACTTCACCAATGAATGCATGTCTCTTCGAGGCACGCAGCCGCGGCGACGGCGGCTTCGGAGGTTTTACCACGTCCCAGAGCGGGCTGTGCCTCGGCGCTAGAAACTTGCAGATGTCAATCCACCCACGGCACAACAGCTCTGCGGTCCCTTCCAGGTCCTTGCCAGACTCCGAGGGAATGAGCTCTCAGCAAATGCCAGGCAGGTGGAAGCGATGTCGTCCCTTTTTGCCATTGTGCGAGTGTGCACATATGGGTGCATTCAGATTGTGATATGATATAAGTATGTGAATATGAATGCTGTATTCTTGTACTTAACATGTTTTTATACACGTGCACTACACACAGATACACACACATACAAGCAAACCTTTGTATGTGTTTGTATATATATATATATTTACATAGATACAGGTATGGACATGTTTCGGATACCATATCATATACGCATACTTCTACGATTAGATAAATAAACAAGCACATACATGAATACATGCATACATGAACAAATCAGTAAGTAAGTACATGACATAAAAATTGAGTACAGAAATAGAAATGTTCATATATACATATATATACACATACACATTTTTTCCATTCGGGAGCGAGAGGGTCTGAGTTAGACGCACGCCTAGCACATGAATTCGAGTGAAACGAAAAAGGGCTCAGCTCGGGGTGTGGAAGCCGGACGCAACACACGTGAAACCAAGCCCTTGAATCCAAGGCTTCGCCCAGGCAAGTGAAGTCCAAATGCCGGGGCATGACAAGCAAACCGGATGCTGAGTGGCGCTAGCGGCACATTCCACGACCTTATGGCATGCGGCCTCGACCCAATCTACAAGCTCACTAGCTTGCTTAGGCGGCAAGCAGGTGGCCTGCGTCAAGTCCATGTGCCATTTGGGTGGTGCCACTAACTCGGTGTGCAGAGTCGGGCCTTGGAGCTGCATTGGCATACCAGACGGGGTGGTCCAAAATGGTACTCCGTAGGTATCCTTCTTGGGGCGTGAGGTATCGGGGAATGTCTCTGCAGAGACCGCCGGGTCCAAAAGCAGGAGCATATTCTCAGCAACCTCTTGATGCCAATTGCTATGCTGGTGCCGGTCCTTCCAGACCTGAACCGTATGCCGAAGTATTTCAAGCGGTTCGATGTGGTCGGCTATAGTGGCCCAGACGTGTTCTTCAGGGCCATCGTGGACCGCCTCGAGACTGTCCAGCAGAGCCGGACAGTGTTGTTCATCAGCGACACCAACGAAATCGTCAGTCCACGAGCCTGCGACAGGTTCAGGTGGTGCCTGGGGATGCAGGGGGGGTGCTGAGTCACCTCCCGCGGGCAGGAAGGAGCCCCACCGAAGGGTGCAAGCTGGGACCGAAACTAAATGACGACGCAACCTACCAAGGCTACCAAACGTAAAACCGCACCCCTTACAGACGTTACCCACCGCAAGCAAGTGGGCTTTGGAGCGGTAGCCGTGTTTGCGCGCTGCATGCCCGGCCCATGCAACGCGGGTGGCGAACGCACGGCGGCATGGGATACAAAGCTCGTCACACCCCATTTGAGAGGAGCTCGGCTCGCGGTTAGGAACTGTGGCCAGTGCGTGCAGGCCTCTGTGCAAGCCGTCTAGTGCTGCTACCAGTGCGATGCGCAGGCTCTCGAGCTTACAGGCAGTACGGACCAAGTTCTTATACACACCGGGCCGGTGAAGCATGAGCGCATGCCAGCTCTCCCATGAGGCGTCCGGGTCCTCAACGGAGGGGAGCTGGTGCGTCCAACGGTATACCCACCTAAGGTCCGCAGCTAACAGATCGCAATATGGCCTATCCGTTTTGATGCACGCCCACAACTGAGGTGGCCCCGCAACAACAAGCTGGCGTAGATACTGGAGCCTAGAACGGCGCAAGATGATATCAGGGGGCAGCAACTGCACCACGGCACAGCACGCAAGGGCAGGCATGTCCTGCGGAGCTGTCTTGGGAATGCAGATAATGCCTCTGTAAAAATGCCAGACAGTTGCGTCGAAGGCTGTCTGGTCAGCTCTGCACAGACTAGGCCACGAACCAGCCCCCAGGGTGAGGCGGCTTAGGACGGTAGCCTCAAGGACGACTGCCTTACGCCGGATCTTAATACCACGGTTCTTGAAGATCTTACGCCTTGCCTCCTGGTAGGCAGCCTTGGCAGATGCGATCCTATGGCGGAGTTCCAATCGGATGGACCCTCCGGGAGCCTGAATCGACCCTAGGTGCTTATAATGCCCAACCAATGGCAGAGTCACCTGTGCCGAATGCTCACGAGCTACATCAAGCGCACCCCTCAGCCCAGTGCCGCCGAAGAGCGCCTTGCGAACTGCTCTGGACCCCGGTCCACAGACAGACGCTAGGGCGGCTGTTTTAGTTGCTCCGTAGGAAAGCCTGAGGCCATGCTCGGCACAGGCGTCTGCTAGCGATCCAGCCTCGACGGCGATAGCAGTCCTGGTTACGCTATTGCGGACAGTCCACCTTGGGACAGCTATGTCATCTGCCCATACGATTTCGTCGACAGTGATATCAGCTGCTCCAGGCGCGCATGGCGCTATCGAGTTGACACCGTCCCACGGGACGCGCGGGGCTGTCGCTGCCGGAGCGGATGTGGCTCGAAGAGTGTCCCTGGCCTGCAGCACCTTCGGGAGAAGCATAGCGAAAACGATGTCCGCAAATGAGGAACCTGGCCTTGAGCCTCGCGCCGTGGCAATCGGGGTGGAGTCACCGCGCAAGACGAACCAATTGTTCGTAGAAAGAGCACTGGTAATGGACTCAAGCCAGGGATCAGCACCAGCAGACTCCATAGCGGTGGGCTGGCCGAGGTGGTGTTGCAGGGAAGCAACATCCTCTGGAGCAATATGCAGCTCGGCTGTGATGCGCTGGAGGAGGTCGCTGTCTATGCCACCGCCGTGGCGTGCTACTAGCTGGGTAACAGTGCAGTAGAAGGCTGATGCGATATCGGAGAACAAGACGAAACCAGTAACTCCCTTGCTCGCTGCCAAGGCCGCCACCGCCCTAAGTAGATGCGACCCAAAAGTGATGCTTGCGCCTGCTCGGCCCCCGAGCTGCAAAACGGGGGCTGAGCTTTGGAACAGCGATTTAAGTGGAGGTCGGAGACTTTGGTGACACGCTTTCGCCAGACTGGAAAGTAACAGGATGGACCTGTAAGATGTGCATTCATCGAACGGTCCTTTGTGTTTGTACAGGACAATTGCTTGTCCCCCTTTCCATCCTACAGCTTCGCGTCCGCGCCACATCTGTTTCATCAAAATTGGGTACAAAACGCGTGCCAAATCCACCGCGTAGTGGCGACAGAGCTCTGCGGGTATGGAGTCTATTCCGGGAGCCTTACCGGTTTTTGTCGCCGCCAGGACCTGTTGCAACGTCGCCAGAGAGGGCACCCTGGCAGTGTCAGCAGGCTGCGGCCATTGGGGACCGCTCTCAGGGTTGGCTCTGTCCTGTGCCTCTGAAACAAGGGCCTGGTAACTTGAATCCTGCCCGCCTTCAAGAGACCCGAAATGCTCCCTCCAACGACGGCTCACAGCAGCGCCATCCTCACACTGCGTGCCGTCCGCCCTTTTAAGCGTTGGCAGCGGATCTAAGTGAAATGGCTTTTTACGCCTGTGCACCAACAAGCGGTGGTAGCTTTGGTATACCTGCTGGCTAGGCCCCCTTTGCACTAAGAGGCCCCCTTCTAGACAAACACGATAGTTGGCAGGGCATTCGCCTCCAAACCGGTTAACTATCTCACCCAAGGTCAACCAGTCATCCCGGTACAGTTCCCAGTGAAGCCCTTGCAGGATGGGCCGTAGGTCGAAGACCAGGATCTTGGAATCGATGCCGCGGCGGGCCGGTCTGGGCAGGGCTCGCGTGGCGACAACTATAGCGTTGCTCATCCTTCCGCATATACAAATGTCAGTCGGCCGGGGGAGAACTCCTCTAAGTGTAATACGCTGGCTGTCATATTCAAGGAAAGCTGCGATGTCAACGCGCGTTTGTGCTCTCCTAGCTTCGTCAAGAGGAAAACGTGCCGCCCCCTCATCAGACAGGATGTAGAATGCTGGGCCCGGCTGTGACGGGACGTCAACAGTTGCATCCCATCCTTCATTGGACTGGAGCATGTCATCCAACGACCTGCCAACTGCAGGTGCCTCCTCGCCTGTCACGAAGACTATCGAAACGCCGGTCCACACTGAAACACTCTGGCCGGGCACGAGTGCGCTGGTGTTTGTATGGAAGAAAACGTCCGCCGGGTATGCATGTCCCAGTCCTGAAAGAACCAGGAACTCCTCCCTCGAGACTTGGAGTGGGGAGCACACTGCGAAGAGCGTTCCATTTATCTTTCGCAGGTCTAGGACGATGACATACTGCTCTGTCCATTCTGGTACGGCAAGCAAGACTGCGAAGGCATCATCGACCTGTGGCTGTGCCGGAACAACCCACTGGAAACGCCTTCTTCTGTCATGGTGCCTGGTATCTTCAATTTCAGCAAGGGCAAACTGCACGGTAGTTGGACAGGGCAGGTGCACAAGGACCACATCGGGGGTGTAGTCCGGGGTCAACACCACAAACATTGCATGCGTAAACGGAGCAGGCGCTGGGCTGAGCTCTTCATCATCTGACTGCTGCCTGGCTAGTTCCGGCGGCGCTCCGGGGGCTAAATTGCCCTCGCCGAAGGGAAGAAAAAGCAACCTCATGTGCTCCTCATGCGTAAGGTCAACATCATTTCCGACATAGGTCGTAAGGTCCGGAATGTCTGTGACCTTGCAGGTGACGGGGGCTTTGCAGAGCAGCCGATGGTAGGACTGGGAGACCCAGTCCGGCGACATGACAGGGTGGGCCCACAGATCTGAAAGGACCCCTAAAACAGGCCTGAGCACCCTCCACTCCGCTGTATCCCAACAAGTCAACACACCTACCTTGTGGCTATGAGGTAGGAAGCCTGTGCTGGCCGAGAGAAGTAGCTTCCCAAGGTGCCCTGCTGCGTCGATACAACCAAGCATACGGTGGCCGGTGGCTGCAGGGACAGGGGAACGGCTGCGATCGGCACGCACAATAGTGTGGCCCGTGCCGGCACTACTGCCCACATCTGACTCGGAAGGCCGGCCATCGGAGTTGTGTCTGTCCGACGGAGGACCAGGCATGTCGGGCGGTGGTGTCTCAAGTGGGGAGTCGCCGAGGAGACGGCTTTGCAAAACTAAGGGCCTAAAAACCAAAGTGCTGCAGCTCCTCACATTGACGAAATCCCCTTGGACCTCGCCTCCCTCGATGGTAAGCCCTGTGTCTGGAGGTAACTGGACCCCGAAAAGCGCAAGCAGAGTCGGTATGTGGACTCTACGAGCGTGTGAAAAGTGGTACCGGGGCCTAAACCCTAAGGGGCGAAGGTCAACAAAGGTAAAAACATCTAGTCGCCCTGCATGTAAGCCGCCTTCGCTGCCTCTGTGGGGCAGCTTGACTGCAGCGAGCAAGTCTTGACAATGCTGTCCAAGCATGTCTAAGTTATCAAAACACCCAGAAGCGCAAACTGTAACATCGACAGGCTCACAGTCAAGCAGCAGGGCTGCGGCTTGAAGCGGCGTACGCCGCTCATGAAACTGCTGCTGGAGATGCCAGCGGGACTCTTCGTGCAACAGGCATAGGCCCGGCGTCGGCCTGTTATTCGGGAGGTGCTGTAAGAGGTCCCACGCGGCTGCTGGATGGAAGAGCGCCTCGTGGTCGATGCAAGGAGGTGGTCGTCCTCCCAGGGGGGTGACCGTTAAGACATCACCGTCTTCAATGATGATTGGCTCTGTATAGGTAGCTGGGTGCAGCTTCTTGGCCACATATACCGAGAGCTCATCCATGTCAGCACGCGTTTGGGGCCTGACAAAGGCAATGAAATCACTCAGGGCCATCATGTGGGGAAGGACGGTAGAGTAATAATGGCCGCCCACTCGCGAGGCATCGACCACAGCCGCGACCTGCCTATCACCTGGCATCTCAGCTAGGATGCGTGGGAATGCCACCACCATGGCATATCCACGGTGCCGTGGCGGATTGACAGGCACAAGGGTATCAGCGCCGGCATCAATGAGCTCAGGCTCAATACACAAGAGCTGACTGAGAAAGGCATCTGCCGTATTGACTCCTTCCATATGGATGGCCCATGTTTGGGTTTGGTAATAGGGGGACATGACAATAGTCCCTAGCCAACGCCCTGTGAGGACTTCGTAATCTTGTGGATTCCGAAGAGGAAGCTGCACAGCAAGCGGGGGAGAGCTACCCTGGGTGTCAAGGGTAAAACTGTCGCGAGGTCCTGGCCAGCACAAAATTGACCCTGATGTGCCGGCATGGCTCAGAGCAACAGGAGGGGGCTCAGAAGGGTCAGGAGCCCAATCGGCATCCTCGAGAAGGAGCCTGCGCACAGCAATAGAGCTTCCTGCCTGTGAACCTGGTGCCGGCTCCGGTATGGGGTCAGGGACGAGCACGTCCGAAGGTATGTCGCCTGAAGGGTTGCCGGAAGCCTGAGCATGCGTGGCAAAAACCCAAACTGCGGTGTGGCCGTACCACACCGGACCAAAACCGACGGCGGCTGGTATGGAAGTGGGCCCTAGGAAGGCCGCCAGCAATTTAGAGATGCTGCCACCTAAGGTGTGCCTGTACCTTAGACCTCGGAGATCTGCGCGGCCTGGTTTTTGGCGATTTCCTTGGCAATTACCTCTCCATACAAGTAGTGGCTTGGAGGCGCAAGCGCATGTGGCAAGGGCGGCGATTGGCCCCGCGCCTTCTGTATACAAGAAGGCTCTTGCAGTCTTCCCCAGTGGGGATCGGTGCCACTTCAATGGCCGAGTGACCAAACCACCCAAGGTCAGTAGCATAAAAAGCAGAGCACTAAGCAGCAGTGCCTGGGCAGCAACCTCAGCCTCCGTTCTAGCACCCTGAATACAGTGCTGGCCCTGCCTGGGCACTGCAAGGAGGTTTCGGGCTTGGGCAGAAAAATCCTCTCCCATGTCGGCGGACGTCCCTGAGCAACCGATACGTCTCTTTTGCGCTCGACGGAGGGGAGGGCTACAAAACTGATTAGCAGAATGGGGGATGCAGCCTAAAGTGTTGGCGCAATTGCCCCCTAAATCCCCAAGTGAGTCGAAGGGGTAGGCTCGGGCCCATGAAGCCAGATAACTCCGTATATGGCGCAAAAGGGGCTGGTGGCCTGGCGGGGGCACATACAGGCAGAGTCAGAAGTCCAGACTCGCCTGAAGGCCGAGGAAGACGTAAGTCCAGGCGACAAAATCCTGGTGCCCTCAAGGGGGAAGGGCGTGGGAGAGAAGGGAGTACCACAAACCCAGTGGCATCGAATCTCTCGCGAGGACGACGGCACCTCCCTATCTACCACAGCAATCCCAAAAAAGGAGGGCTGCAGCAGACCGGAAGGGCGGCAACCGCACTGAGGAAGAATGTGCTGGTACAAAACAGTCACAGGGCAAATCAGCGCATCCACATTCCGTAGGTTGAGGTGAGCAGGGACAATTAGTTTCCCTACAGCTCCTGCCCCAGAGCCACCGATGCAGGTATTTGGCGCATGTAGGAGAAACACTTGGATGGGCGCAGCGGGCCGACAGAGCTGGCCGTGAAGCTTGAAGCAGACTTTTGCTCTTGGGGGGAGGGTGCCACCGCCAGCGGCAAGGAGGCGCTCGCGAATGGAGGAAGGCGGAGGAGAGAAGGGAGTACCACAAACCCAATGGCATCGAATCTCTCGCGAAGACGACGACACCTCCTTATCTGCCACAGCAGTCCCAAGAAGAGAAAGCCTCAGCAGCCCGAAGGGACGACAAACACCCTTGGGATCTATATGCCCGAAAGGCACATGAGGCGTGCATCGAAGCGCCAACCGCGGCTGAGCCTGAAAACGGGGTGAGACAAGGGGCCTCTCACTGACAAAACTACTCAGTTGAGGTAGAGAACAGACACTTACGTTCAAGGGGCCTTGTCCTCCAAGCTGCTTGAGCAAGGGGGAAGGAAGATGACACCCAAGCCATGCCTTCCCACAGTGCTTTGGGCTTGCAAGACGGCCACAGATGAACGAAGAATCTGCTCCACCGGCAGCAAAGGAGACTTCACTCCATACAGAAGGGAAGGAAGTCGTTATTCCAAGTTTGACAAACTTGGAGCTGCATCTGAAAAATCCTCGTCGTCCGCAATGAACATAGGCGGTGCTTCTCGTGGAACGACCTGATCTTTGTTGGGTGCGGACTCGTTCTCGACGGGTGGTGCTCGGAAGGGATGGAGTGCCGTTCGACGCTCCTCCCTTTTTGCTGCCAATCTTTCGGCCAAACTTGTATTTGGCGCTTCGGTCTCCACATGTGCGACAGCTGTAGGTGCAGGGGAAGCAGAAGAAGTAACCTCTGCATCCATGCTTCTTCCGGGAGGTCTGGCTGGAGGGGGCGTGCGAGGCATGCCCACAAAACGCTGCGGTGTACCAGCCACATTGCCGAGCAAGGTGGCAGGATCTCCGGTCGCAGCAGGCAAGGCGGTTCCTGGAGGCCCAGGACATGCCGCAACCATTCCTGTCCCAAAGGTGGGACTTGCCATGTAGGGATCCGACGCTGTGGCCACCGGCGAGGCATGGTTGTACGCAGTAAGCCCAGGGGCAGCAGCGGCCATAGGTGGGGGCACCTCTGGTGGTGCAACCCCAGGTTGCAGGTGCTGTGCAGCGAAATAGGCCTCCTGCAGAAAACTGGAGGGAGGTTCCGTAGCCTCGTCTTCCTGGATCATGCGTTCCCATTCCTGCTCTTCGACTTCCATTGCTGTCGATTCTTGCTGCTGCGCCATTTCGACGCCTTGAAGAACAATCATCTTCATGCGGTCGGCTGCAGCATGTCCGTCTGCTGTTGCCTGCTTGATGTCCGCTTCGAGCTTGGCCACATCTTCGCCATACTGACGCTTCTGCTTCGCATAATTTTGCCGCTGGTCCACCACAAAACGTTCCCATTGTTTTTTGCGAAGACCGACCTCTGCTTGCAAACGCCTGATTCTGGCGTCTGCCTTCCTCGCTGTTGTCAAGGCCCTCTGCACAGCCTGCGTGGTGGTGAGCATCTGAGGTCCATCCGACATATTTTCTTGCCAAGGGGCAAGAGCCGTCTCGGCTCTTCCTTTGCCACCTTTGCCAGCTACGGGCACTCTGTCGTAGCGGGGTTGCTGCTGGGCTTGCTGTTGGGACCGCGGCGAGACAGCCCAAGCACCACGCCAGTATACATCCCCATGATCTCGCCATGCCGCGTTTGAGCCGCCTTTCTTTCCTCCCATCACCTGTCGGAACCGTGGTTGCGAGTGGTGGTTCTCCAGGAGAGACAGATCTTGCGGGCGAAGCCGCAAGCCTGACAACTGGCGCTTGTAGACTAAGAGTCGTTTCTTCGCCCTGCGCAGCCTCTGGTGTCGATGCCAACTGGGGCTCGATGGATGTTTCCCTATGGCTGACGCAAAAAGGAGGACGTGTCGTTTGACACGATTGGGGCTTTCAGCTATCCCTGCTCGGGTTGATCTGAGCCCTACACATACACACACACACATATATATATATATATATTTTCACATATATATATATATACACCTACCTACCTACCTACCTACCTACCTACCTACCTACCTACCTACCTCCCTACCTGCCTGCCTGCCTACCTACCTACCTACCTACCTCCCTACCTGCCTGCCTGCCTGCCTGCCTACCTGCCTGCCTGCCTGCCTGCCTACCTACCTACCTACCTACCTACCTACCTACATACATACTTGTACATGCACATACATATATACACAGGCAGATACAGACACATGCATCTTCACGTGTACAAAGACAACACCAGCACACAAGTCACGGCTTACGGCTGCATGCAGACATGCCGTACCTGCGTATGTGCACTCCACAGTCTTGGGAGCTCAGGGGAGGATAGCCACGGCCAGCGCCGGTCTCCAAGGCCTCTGATGGTCGTGGAGCAGCCCATGGCAGCTCGGAGGTCACACAGCCGTCGCTTCAGGTCTCACAGCTAGTTGTTTGGTGATGTTTCAGTCCTGGGCCAGCCGTCTGGTAGATAAGGGTACTTTTCAGTGACGGGGGCGGTTGCCTTGTTAGCCTCAGGCCACACCTTTTCATGACTTCGAAGTCCATCAACTGAGGCGCCGCATCCCAAGAGGAGATGACAGGTGCACTGTCCATCTCGGCGCAGGGTCTTCGGACTGACTCCTAATTCAAATTGCACGTGGCAGTGGTGCCCAGCTTCCCAGCTTCCCAGTGCCCTGACGCTGCGAGGCCCTTTGGCCTTGATGGCGAGCGTCCAAAGTGGCGCTAGTTGGAATCGCGCCCGCCAGAGCAGATTTATTGTTCGCAGGCAAAGAGAACCTGCTGCCGCAAGGCCTGAAGGTGCCAAAGTGCCCGCGAAAGGGCCGGGCCGCATGAAACGCGCGCTCGTTTCGATCTCATATCGAGCAATCATGAAGGAGTTCGCCGCTTGTGCTGGAGATGCAAGAGCAAGAGGGAGGGATGGAGGGATGCCTGAAGCTCCAAGGAGAACATGGGTGCCGTCGGCTGAGAGGCGACGGCGCGGGGAGGCTGAGAGCCTTCGCCTTGGCGCTCTGAGGCTGCCCGTGAAAATCCGTTTTGGGGGGCTAAAAAAGGGCAAAGCTCCACAGGACGCCTCGGCAAAGCGGAGCCTCTGACGGCAGGTCTTCCCAAAAAGGAGTCGCCCAAGTGCACCCATCGAAATTGCATGGCAACTGCATGGCAACAGCATGGCACCGCACTGCTCTCAGCTCTCATCTGCTTTCCGTCTGGCACGCTTCAGCTCTAAAGCTTTGCGGCACCCGGGCCCCTCCCGAATCTCTGCGGGAAGCTTGCGGCCGCAGCCTCAGACGTGGGATCCCCTTTTTTTGTTTACGCTGACCTCCGGCACAGACATATGTTTCTGGTGCAGGCTGCCCCCCCCGCGGCGACAGAATGGGAGGCATACGGCGGCGAGGGCACAGGCCGGGCTAGGAGGGCTTTCAAAAGGTCCGTCGCCCGTCAGTGAGAGGTTCTGTTACCACAATCTGTCGGAGCCAAAGAGCGGGGTGGGGCCCTGGCTAAAACGCGGAAGCTCAGATAGGGAAGCGACTGCGGCCTGCATCGTTTCTTCAGGGGCCATCCGTAGATGTTGTGGACTTCGGCCATAGTGAAGGGAGCTTCAGTCTTGTAGAAAACCTCTGTAACAGCCGTCCGGTTCCGACACCTCCGCTCGCAGGTCTCACAAGGAAGAGGCCCGGCAAGGAGAAGAAGGTTTTGGAGGAGGGTTTTGGCTAGGAGCATTTTTCAGCCAGGCCTTTTCTGAATGTAGGATTGAATGTAGGATTCTTTGGGTCTGAAATTGTTTGGGTCTGAATCTCATGGCGACGTCGTTTGGAAGTTTGGGCGAAGTTGGCGACGTCGGGTCAGCCTCAACAAACGACATCGGCGACCGAATCTCCCCACTCCCCGAAAGCAAAACAACAACAGCAACAGACCCCCAACTGCGGCAGTTTCTGGAGGGCAAGCCTTGAAGGGGGGGCATGGTTCTACTAGGGGGTAACTTCCCCAGTCCGGGCCGAAATTGAGGAGTCATCGTGTCTCTCATGTGGACACTTCAGATTCGGTGATGCTCTGAACACCTGGACGTATGTCTGGGAGCAAGACGCCACAGCCACCTGTGAGGTCAAATCTGCAGACGCCGCGCCCGTAGAAGCGCAGCTGGAAGGGAAGGTGGCCTCGAAGTCGGATGCCTGAAACCCTTCAAACCCATTTGAGTCTTTGGACCCTAAGCCATTCAGACCCTTCAGACCCTGTCCCGGGACGGCTTCGGGTGCTGGTTTTAATTAACAAAAGCTTTCTCTGGAGTCTTTGGAGCTTCAAAGCCTCGCGTTTGCGTTCCGCCCCCGGCCGGAGGCCCGGAGCGCTCCCTCGAAGCGCTCGACGCGCAGCCTGCAAGGCGCGCGGAAGGGCCGGAACCGGAACGGATGCGGCGGAGGAGGGTGAGTTTTTTGTCCGTCTCCGGCGTATCCTCAGCCGGAGCGAAGACGCCCGTTGATGCCACATTTGCTTTCCTCCTGCTTGTCTTCGTCAAGGCCGTGAGAATCAGTGAGGGTGATTCTTCCAACGACTAGTTGGCAGTGTTCCACTTGTTGAAAGTATCATGATCGCGGCCACTATCACGTCAAGAATTGAAGAAAGACCCGCTGTCTTAGTTCTTGATCAGGTAAGTGAACGAGTTTTTGCGCCTGGGTGCTTTCAGTCGCGAAGCTTGAGCCGCCAACCGCTGAAAGCTCAAGGTTCCAAGTTCGAAGACCTCTAGAAACAAGATTGCACGAAGATCAGTAGGTCAGATTGCAAGTGGGTCGGATTCCTTAGCTGCTTCATCTGGAGGCATCAAGCCGGATGCCGACGAGGCTGGATCCGCGTGGTGAGCCGTCTAGGGGTTTTCGCTGGCTCCAGGGATTCCTCGTTTGGGGTTTGACACCGCTGAACAGGGAGCTTGACTTCGATGCGGCAGGTGCTCCAGTGCATAGAGAGTTTATACGTGGACAAGCTGAAGCCTTTCGGCCCTGTCCTTGGGGTAACCAGACGGACGCTTCAGATGACGGTCCAGTTCCAGCTGCAGGTCGAATCCTGCGAAAGCGCGTCGCAGAGCGCCATGTCCAGATCCACCTCAAAGAGCAGCACCCATTTATGCCAGGAAAGCGAAGTGTGAAGCAGATAGGATGACATCAGATTGCGAAGACAGAGAAGTCGTTCCAGCTTGTCGTTTACCGCAATTCTTGATCTCGCTTTAAGGGCATTGTATGTGTCGTAGGACGTTGCCTTATGTTCCGGATGTTACAGCCTAGCACGAGGAGCTGCAACAGAACTCCCAGACGTGGATATCAAGCACCAGCCCAAGAAATGCAGCGACAGTCCCTTGATTTGTTTGGGCGCTGCACTCCTGAGGCACCTGAAAGGTCTTTGTGACGACTCTGACCAGTTGGACATTGCGCCCAAGCCTCTGAGAGCGGAAGTGGGAGCGAGTCCTCTTTTAGTTGAATCAGTTGTTCGCAGGCCAGAGGAGGGAGGCGACTGGTCCGCCACCTTTCGAGGCCGCGCCCAGGTCTTTGCCGGAACCCAAATGCGTGCATCGCAGCGTCCAGACGCCTCCCGCTGCGCGAAGACTAAGGTGGACATCTACAGTCCCGAAGACGACTACTCTCCAGAGACTTGGCAGGCTGCCAGAGAGTGCCCCCACTTTAGCGGGACTGAGAGCGAGATCAAAGCTGTTTTTTTTTTCTTTCTCTCTCTGCTTTTCTTGGGAGGTACTTCGCCTCCTTGCCAGAAAGCGAGGCTTTGCTCCCCGGAGGCGGGGGAGGGGAGTGCCATGGGGATCCTTCCAAAGAGATTGGTAGAGAAGGACAGGCAAGCAAACTGTTAGAGAAGTTCCTTGAAGGTGATCATGTCGTCCTTTTGCCATTTTTTGGCTTTGATGCTGCGACCTGTGTTCAGGTCGCTACTCCTGTGCGCAGGCACTCGTCCAGAGGACGGGGCTTCTCTTCAAACTCCTGCTCTTAAGCATGCCGCACCTCTGACAGGGAGCTGCCATTCCTCGGCGGCTTTACGCTGGGCGAGGCGGGGCCCCACCCGAACCCACAAAGGGAAGCCTTAGCCTTGAGAGGTCTGCCACTTGGTGCAGCTGGCCATCTCAAAGCACAAGATCCTAGGCCGGGTGGAGACGCCAAGGCTGCTTTGAAGGCCTCGTCAAGGCTCTCTTGCTGCCCTGTTTCAGGATACTGCAACGGCGCGGTGGTGCCTTACAGCCGATCTCAGCCCAGACCTCACGTGGGAATGGTGAGCCGTAAAGCCTGAAGTCGCTTCGTCCGAGGTCCCGCGTGAAGGAGGAATGCGCCGAGTCACAGCAGCCGTGCGCCTGCCCAGAGCCAGAAGGCATCATACAGCTCTCCCTCTCAAAGCCTTTTTTTGCGAGGTGCATCGGGGCCCCCAAGAAGGAGGATCCGAGCTCGCTGAGCTCGCTGGCTCTCGCCAGTCTGGAGAAGGTTGTGGCTTCGAAAGCGGAGCTCTTTCGGCTGTTTTTGTCTGCTGTCGTGGGAGGCCCGGGAGCACTTGCGGGAGATCCTCCGGGACGCCTCCTCCGCTCCCTCCAACTCGGGGTGCGGTGCACAGAGCTCCACGTCGCAGTGTCTCGCACGGACGCTTCTTTGAGAGAGCCGCTTTTTTGGAGTCAAAGACGGCCTCAGTTTGGCCCCGAGCCGAGGCCTTCGATGGTCCCTTTGAGCAACGTGAAGCGCTTGTTCCGGTCCAGGTGGGAGGGGAGAGCAAAAGTCTTCTCAGATCGCCCGAGCCCTTAACTGCCAAAACAGAACCCGACGCCCGAAAGACCAAAAGCAGCCCCCAACTCTCGAGCACCTGGAGGTACCAGATCGAGCTGAGCGAGACGGCGCTGGGGCACTCGAAGCTTTCAGAGTTGTTGCCGCGGGGCTCAGAGCAGCGAAAAGCGAGCAGCGAGCAGATGCGAGCAGATGCGAGCAGATGCGAGCAGTGCAGAGCGGGAGAGCTCAGAGTCGCAAAACGAGGCAAGACCGGAGGTTCTCCGACATCTGCGAGGCGCGGGCCACTTGCGGCATCTTGCGGCTTTTTTGAAAGCAAGTGCACGCGGCCCGCCGCCTTCCCTCCAGGTCCAGCTTCAGGGACAAGGTGAGGGGGGAGAGTGCAGCCCTCCCTCGCTCTCTGTGGGCATGCGCTCGCTCTCTCTTGGAAGGCTACATCGTGGTGCAAGTCCAGGGGAAACCCGAAGCCGAACCAGAGACGGAGGCTTTGGCCGCTTGGGCCAGTGTCGGTGACTTTTTGCACTTTCCTCCGATTCTCCTCTACGACTCTACCGATCTCGGATTTCCGAACGAATCCGAGGTCCCGAGCCGGTACACCGGAGGACAGATGTGGTCATGGCTCTGAGGGAGACGCGGGTTTCAGCTTGGGCGGATTTGAGTTGCGGCGGTTGCCTTCTCCCAAGAGCCCGTGTAAGCTCTTCTCATTGCAAGGCCTCAGACCAAGCGATTCGTGCTTTTCATGCTTTTGGCGGCTTTGGTGTTTTGTTTGGGTTTCGGGACTACGAGCTGAAGCATGTCCTTGGATCGCCCGCTGCTCAGCTTTGAGCCCATGTCGCGGCAAAGGTACTCCGGAAACCTGAAGCTATTGAAGACGCTGACACACGAGACAATCCAATCCGTGCGCACCGAAAAATCTCAATCTTACAGCCACAACAGCCGGATCCACTACCAGTAGCATCAAGGCACAGATCAACAAGCATGGGCAAGCATCCACAAGCAAGCTGTTGGATCAGATAAGCATGAATTGGAGCTCGTCGACAGGTCTCGTCGTTTCAGTGGTGAGCGTGGTTTAGGACAGGTTTGCTTTGGTCAGGGCCCTTATTGAAGGTCCCCGAGTAGGCCCAGCCGGTCTTTTGAGGGGTAATGAATCGCCTCAGGGTGGTACGAACGGGGGACAAGTCGCCTCTTCTGTATCCGAGCCCAGATCGATGTCCTGACCGTCTATCCTGACATCCTCTTCTCCGTAACTTTTTCCGTGCTGATCGGGCTGTCTTTCTGGCTACTACATAATGGGGGAGAGACCACCGGTAGTCGTTTCCTGCTTGTGTGTGTGGGGTGTTTTAAGTGTTGATTCCAGAACCACAGTGGACTCAACCCCAAGCCGGACCCGCAGTACTGCTAGTGACATGGTCTTCCAAGCTGTCATGGCCCTGCACTTAGCGTTGCTGCTGTACTTGCAAAAGGGGGGACACTACAGCATGAGGGGAGGGGTTGCTGCAGGGACTTAGGATTATGCATCAGAGGGCGCGGCGATGAGGCCTTGAATAGGTTTGGGGATGGGCTTTTGCAGCTACCCTTCACTACCAACCGAGCCTCGGCGCGGGTTCGCATAGCGGACCTGAGCCCATCGGAACGAAGAACAGAAAGGAAGAGAGAGAGAGGGAGACAGAGAGAGTGAGGACCCATCGGCCCCGTTCGCGACGACCCCGAGAGCCAAAGCGCTGGAGCTCAGCCTTGGCTCTGTCTGGAGGGCCGTGTCAGGTGTGTCTGCACACAGCGGAAGTAGCAGCGTAGTATAGCAGCGTAGCAGGAAGTGCCGTTCAGGAACTCTGGGGAGCCTCGCGAGCTTGGCGGTCGACTGCGCGCTGACGCCAGCCCTTTGCCTCGGTGCAGCTTTGCATCTTTGGGGGTCGCGAGCTGCAGTCTGATTCAAGGAGAGCGCATGTTGACTCTGAGGTCATTGATAGCAGCAAGTACGACAGCCTAGACTTGTGCAGAGAGCCATGCCGGCCGTGTGGTACCCAGCCAGTTGTCGCTCCAGCAAGCAGTCGACTGCGTTGCCCTTACCCAAACAGTTTAAACATCAACTAGCACAACTATTGCCGCCACGGCTACTGCCGACGACTGCGGTTATGAGGAATAACATACATCAGAAGTGCCCCAGAGGATCTGAGTTGCCGGATCTTCCGTCTAGGCATCTGAGCAGAGGCCCAGGGAAGGAGGGCCGCCCGCGTAGGCTCGAGGTCTAGGCGGTCGAGTCTTCAGGAATGGGGGTTGTTGTAGTGTGGCTTACTATGACGTGCTGATTACTATGGCCTCTTCCTGTTTGACTTCTCAGGATGTACAGAGCTGATCTTTGCTTTGATGCTTGTTCTTATGACTGCGATGCTGTTCACTCTTGTGATGTTGATGGGTGAATATAAAAGGAGGAAGAAAAGCAGCTGTAGCATGCCTCAGGTTCTGCGTGGGCGAGCCGCTCGCTCTTGAGGCTGAGGGTCTTGATGGCTGTGGCTCTTACACCCTTACACCCTTACACTTGCGCGAACTGCACGACGTGGACTGCATGTGCAGAGAGCCTGCCCGGCAAAGGTGCAGGTCGGTACTGCATGGCTTCAGAGTCAAGGAACCCACCCATTCTCTAAGTGAGGAATCTACCGTGAGTTGTTTTAGAGTCCTGAGTTTGATGGTGAGAGTTGAGGCCTCAGTGAACGAAATCATGCTGTTCTGTGCGTCTTGCTCAAGGTGACTTTCGCGAACTCGGATCCACAGCCGCCTAGAGTCATGGTGCTAACTACGTGCAGTACCCGAGCATTCCGACTTCTACGGACTTTTTAAAAGGTTTGCGTCCACAAGCTGTACTTCCCTTGCAAGAATGCGCAATCCAAAACTTCAGGGTTTTGGTGCGCTTTGGGCTTCAGGAGTTCGACAGGTGTCTGCAGGTATCATGCTTGCCTCGTCCACTCACCTGTGTTGATGTAGAGAACATCGGAAGGAGGCTGGCTTTGGCGACCGCTTTCCTCCCGGCCTGGTCGGGGCCTTGGTGAGCAGTGCAGAGGTTCGGAGCTGAGGGGTGTCTGGATGTCGTGATCCGAGAGAAATCTAAGGACAGAGAGGTGAAAAACACCTTCATCCACTCAGCAGTGACTCCTCTGGTTGGCAGCCGAGGGCAAGAATACTAGCGCTGGACGGTTGGCTGTCGAGCACTTCCTCTGAGGTCACGCCGGAGCCGGGATCGTTCCGGCGTTCGCAGTCCGTGCCGAAGGACTTTTTGTACACTTTCTAAATCTGCAGAGGTCTCTCAAAAAAGACACGTCGGCCAAAGTGGCGGGGTAGCAATAGGCAGAAGAGCCCAGGCCGCGAAACGACGAGGGCATTTGCTTTGATGCTTTGGCTCGGACAATGAATCATGTGCAGGACGTTGGCTTTGCCTGCGCAGACATGGACAAGGCCGTGGACCTGTCAGGTGGTTGTGTTGAGAATGCTTCGAACCTCCTCTTCATGGCGATCCCCGCCCCAGGGATTTGAATCAAATGGGCCTCGGGCCTGCCCATAATCCCATCAATCATTTTGCATGGTGATTGTAGCAAAGGATCCGAGAGGGCCATGTTGTGGGCGCAACACACAGCGGCTAAGCCAGCACAGGAGGCTGCCACACAACATCTGGCTGAAACATGAGATCCTGCGCAAACTAGTGAAAACCATCATCATATGTAGCATGATCACAGATGCAGCACAAGGGGAAACACCAGCGATGCTGCCTGTTGCGCTTCTCGAGCGCTTCTTTTGCTGTGCTTGTGCGAATTCGAGTGCTCGTTTCATTGCGTATTGGCAAACGGAGTCGACGATTGACAATCAGCTACACTGTGCTCTATATACAATGATGACATCGGGTGAGGGATACGCCGAACACATACATGCACATCGTCGCTCTTGTCAATTGTGTCATCCACTACAGTATGAGCTGCTGTTTCAGGCACAGATTACATGGCTTCATTGGCCATTATTGAACCTTTATAGAACACAAAATGATACGGGCCTGCGTTTTGTGGGTTCAGGCCTACGTACTCTAACTAATACTCTGCGTACAACATCGAGACCTCCCATGCTTAATAGATTAGCTAATATCTCCAGGAGTGTATTTTCCTATTGTAATGAGGTTCCCCAAAGGATCGTTTAGGTTCGGAGACCTGCAGGGAATGAGAGAGGGAGGAAGGGAGAGGGGGGGGCAGCCAAAAAAACAAACAAACCAATAGTTTTTTTTGTCGACCCCCCTTCCGCTACGGACCATTGAACCAAAGGGCATCAAAAGACCCTGGTTTCCTCGACATCAGGAGGAAGCATGTCCTAATCACGGCATCAGAGCAGAGACCACACATTTGAAGGTCTTTGGGCTCTCAGGCTCTCAGGGAGTCTCGTCACATCTCGTCAACATGCTCTTTCCAGCTGACGGCCCGGTGAGCTGATTAGTTTAGACGTGCTTGGACCGTCCTGCGCAGGCATCAGGGAGGGGATTTGAAGTATTCAAATCCTCCAACCACCGAAACTAATTTAAATCCCCTTCCCTTATCCTATCAAGTGCCACCCAGGCCCACTTAAAGTCGTTTACACAAGTAGGGCCGGTTGAAATTAATAAAGTATATAAATCCGCCAACCACCGCAAAATAATTTAAGATATACATTTAGATTATATTGTAAATATGCATGGACGGTCCTGAGCAGGCAACAGGGAGAGGATGTAAATTATTTAAATCCGACAACCCCCAAAAATTGTTAAATACTTCAAACCGCTTTCCCTGACCCTATTAAGGGCCACCCAGGCCCATTTAACACAATTTAAATATAGCCGAGTTAAATTATTAAAAATGTCTAAATTTTCTACATAAGCTTGGATGGTCCTGGGCAGCCCCCTCTCTCCCCCCCATCTCATGCCCATCCCTCTCCCTCCCCCTGCCCCCTATTCCTCCTTTCCCCACCCTCCTTCTAGCTCTCGCTTTCAGGGAAGGCGCATGCTTCAACCACAGGGCCCTGAGCACTACACATGCTGTTCTGTCAGATCCTCACGGGCCACGACGCAGCTTGCAGCGTCGCGCCCTCGCCGGCGTTTCTGCCGGGAACCTAGGACTAGATGCACCCTCGCAGCTGTTGCAGTGATGCTTTTGATACTTCTGTTGAACACATTCTGCAATTATGGTTTCTGTCGGGCCTGGCGTGTCAAAGCGAAGTTGTCCAGTCTCTTATTCCATGTCGAGGCCGCCGCCCACGCCGAGCTCGCCACTCTACACGCGCGGCTACGAGGCGAATACCAGGGTAAGGGAGGAGAGAGCTTCAGAGATGAGAGAGTCTTGAGAGATGACCGGCCCGACAGCATGAGAGAGTCTTCCCAGAGAGAAGAGTCTGAGTCGTCACAGCGCCTTTTGGGAAGGCTTTGCTGCTGCCGGGTGCCCCAGGACAAGGAGTGTGGCGGAGCCTCCGCACGGCGGTCACCACGTCTCAGGTCCCAGATGGAGCAATCTCACCCGTTGAATACAGCTGCTTGGCCTGGCTGGTTAATGAGACGGTAGAGTTTGTGGAAGCCCCCGTGGCCCCCTGAGGTCATTCGTTTGGCAGAGCTGATTTGAGGCTACGATCTGGCAAATGCCCGAGGCCTCTGGCCGGAATTCGCTTCCGAAGCTTCGAAGCCGCTTGGCCGCCGGGGGGGGATGGCTAAAACCGAGCCTCTGTTTGGGAGCCGATGCGTAAATCCGAGGGTCCTTTACCGTCCTTTGGGGCCGAACCCGGCCTCGAATCTCACGGTGTACAGCTTTCCGTGAGGGGAAGAGGGCGCACCCAGCTCTCAAGGCTTCCGCTTCGGGGCCCTGGTCTAATGAACCCCTGGCCTCCCGACAGTGGAGGTCTCTGCAAAGGTCGGCAGGATCTGAGCATGGTACAGACGATCTAGAGGGATAGACCGTGATAGACCGTTCTCGGATCTTGAAGCCGCTTCTGGTAGCTCGCACACTTGCGGCACGGTCGGTGGCGCCTCTGCGCTCAGCCCCACCTGACCCACCTTCCATTCTCAAAGGGTTGTCCCGGCCTCTTCCTCTCTGCCTCCACTCCTAGCGAGAGCAAAAACTGACTAACTCTTATACGACCCCTACAGAGCCCCTAAGCCCTAAGCCAAGCCACGCCACTCCAAGTGAAGCCAAGCCAAGCCAAGTCAAACAAAACCAAGCAAAGCAGAGCAAAGCCCAACAGACCAAACAAGCCAACCAAGGCAAAGCAAGAACGACAGGTGGACGTAAGGAACGATAGGTAGGCCAGGCGGAAGAAGGATAAAGAAGACAGATGGATGCCATTCAGGGAACCCGACCTGCTGCATTAATCTCCTGAAGAGACAATGGGTCTTAGAAGTTGCATGAAGATGCTGAGTGGTTTTTTGTCACATGTAGCCAAGCTCTGTCGAACGGTTGAAGCTGCGGTGCCGGAAAGTTTCCTGCTAAACAGATTCAGAGCTTGGCTACTTCCCAGTCCCAGTGGAAATTCCACGCGTCAGAGTCTGGGGTTGGAAGCCATCGGGGCTTTTGAGGGCCAACCCAGAACGACAAAAGGCGACTGCTCCGAGAACTTCGGCCTTTGACCAGTTGCATCTCGCGTTTTGCCGCTGGGCCCACCCGGCCGGAAGGGCAGCAAAGGTGGGGCCTGCCGAAAGCTCCCCTGAAGCTGATATTAGGGGATTGGGAAACAAGCTCCGAAAGCTGTAGGCAAAATATAGATACACAAATATATGCGGCTGCATACATGTACAGATTCTACGCATGTCATGTTCAAGCTTCGTGGGCGCTGGCAAGGACGCGAGAGGATGGCAGTTCAAAACAAATCTTCCGCTTGCTTCTTGTTAGCGTAGGAGAGCATAGCATATCATTGTGCATGCTTTTGATGGTTTACTATTGAAGCGAAGCGGCGAAGTCCGGGAAGTCTCTGTCCTCAAGTGCTTTGAGAGGCTACAGGTCGGTCTTGATGTCTTAGCGCCCATCTGTGGATCTGAGTTTTGCGTGCTGTCCTGCTGCCCGAGATCGGCATGAAAGCATCCGACGAAGCTTCCAGCATTTCAGTGTGACAGCACACATCAGTGGCAGTTCCGTAGAAGGCCATAGCTGCAAGACTGAGGCAGTCACGGCACACCTTTTGTTGGACGTGAGTCCTCAAGTCGTGTTACTGTAAGGCCCCTTTGAGTCGTGAACCGCGCAGTTCCGCAATGCCCGGGGACCTTCCTTCCTGAGAGCTCCTCCCTGCCCATGAGAGCCTCAGCCTGGCCGGAGTCCCAGCCTGACCGATGTCTGACCGATCTCTTTCCAACACCCAAGCAAAAGGGGGAGCAGCGGTGTTTAAGTTCTTCTGGTAACAGTGGCTTCGGAGCGGGCTCGCCAAACATGAAGAGTCATCCTTCCATAAAGGGAAAAGGCCCAGGAGGCTCCGGGCGTTCCCAGCCTCTCACAGTGCTGCGGCCGAGATCCTTCGAGTGCCAAGCGCGCGTCATGGCCTCCATGGCCGACTCCTCGCGTGCGCTTTGGTTGCAAGAAGAACTCAGAGCCGACGGCCCAAACCAGCCGCCGCCCGTATCAAGTTCAGACACGTGGCGTCAGCTCCACAGGCGCGGCCAGAAGAAGGACAAGGCACGGGGAGCGAGCGCAAAGCGGCAAAGCGAGCTGCAACATCCTTGCTCCACCTCCTCTGCCAGCTCCGGCTACGGGGTCATCTGCGCCCTCGGAGCCCTCGGAGCCAGCCGCGGGTGCAGCGGCGCCCGCGGAGGCCGCCGTGGAGGGCTCCCGGCCGGCGCCGGCGACCGAGGTTTGCGGCCAGGCGGGCAGAGACGTCTCCGTTCGACACTGGGACTTCGTGCTTGGCCATCAGGCTGGGCGCCCAAAGACAGGCAACGCCGCCTTTCTCATCTCAAGCCTCGCCGGACAGGTAAAATAGAACGGGGGGCGTAGAAGTATACTCGCAGGTGCACAGAGGACGAGGTCGGGCTCCCGAGGGAAGAAGCGCAGGAAGCGGAGCCGGGCCCTCGAAGCGACTCCGCCCCTTTTGAGAAACGCGGGGCGTTTCGCCGCTTCTTCGCTGAGGCCCCGTGAAAGACAAGCCAGGCCAGGGGCCGGGAAAAAGAGCCATAGCCATAGCCCAATCATAGCCAATAGCAGGGTTTGGAATAAGCCATCCTAGACTGTTCATACAATTTTCTAGCTGCATGTCGCTTACATATTACATATTCACTTGTGCTTTGCAGTGGCCTTTCCATCATGACAGTCGTCGTACCTCGTGACAACACATCTTTCACTTTTTGCTTGTGCCGCTCCTGCTAGCAACTACAGCAACGTGTGTCGTTATTTACTGCTACTATTAACTTCCATGACTGTTGCTACTGCACCGGCGACGACGACAATGACGACCATCCACCACGCCGCAACCACGACCTCGACTTGAATCATCGACTCATCATCATTATCGTTGTTATTCTTGTTGTTATCACGGATACTCATGAGTATGCTACTGCTACCGCTATTGCTACTGCTTCTGCACCTTCTACTGCTGCTTCTACCGCTGCTTCTACTGCTACTGCTATTGCTGCTGCTACTACTGCTGCTGCTGCTCCTACTACTACTACTACTACTACTACTACTACTACTACTACTACTACTCCTACTCCTACTCCTACTCCTACTCCTACTACCACCACCACTGCTGTCTGCTACTGCTGCTACGGCCACTGCTGGTTCTACTGCTACCCTAGCAACAGCTGTCGTCGTCGTTCGTCTGTTGCTACCGTTGTCGTTCTTTCTTGTGCCGCCTGAGGCCGACGGCGGCGCGAGCGGGAGCGGGAGCGCGAGCAGCGGAAGGGCCGCGTGCTGGGCTCCGAAGGCCCCGGTGGATGCGACACAGAGCTTCTGGCCTCCGCTTTCGGCGTGAGCAGCGGCGTGAGCAGGGCCTGCACGGGCAGCAGACCAGATCCTGGTGACTGCGCCGATCTGCCGCGTTGAGGCCTCAGAAAGAGCGGCTCCGCCCTGGACTTCGAAGTCCGAGGGGTTCTTGTCGCTATGTGATCGCGCTTTTTCCCACCGAGGAGTCCCGGGCAAGGTACATGTTCGGCAACTACGACCAGCCAGATGCTCAGCGGCTTCGCGCATGGAGCGGCAGTTTTGCAGTGCTCTCTGCAAGTGTGTGCTGTTGAAGAACCAGGTACTACAAGCAGCGATTTGACCGCTATGCCACCGTGGACCCCAGGGTACAGGCCATCCCACAGTCCTCCATCATGGCACATAGGGGGTGCTTCTGCTCTTCTTGCTATCATTCTTGGATTGCAACAGCTGCTGTTTTTCTTTCTTGTTTCTTGTTTCTTCCTCTTCCTCTTGCTCTTTTGGAGTCCCTGCGAGGGTGTGCTGCTGAAAGCTGGCAACATCTTCGCTGACAAGGCCGGGAGAGTCTCTGCGGCTTCCTGCTCCCGAAGAGTCTGCTGCAGGTAGTGCTGGACATCGGTTGCAACACAGGCCCAGGAATGGGGGCAAAACGGGTTGCTAGCAACAGATCTCGTGGCCGCAACCTTAAGTAATTGTCGCCTTCAACAACTGAGGAGAGAATGCACACCACGACAGTGAGAGAAACGATGGTGAGCTGAACCCGGCTGAACGAGTGGATTCCAAGTGCACCCCCACACTTGCATACGAAGTTAGGGTCTCCCAGATGGCCCGCTTCGACGTGAGCCGTCGCAAAAAACCTCTCGAAGAACGGGAGAGACAAACACTTTCCCCCCTCAGGCGCTGGCTGGCTCTCTGCCTGCATTTTCATTCGTTCGTTCTCGTTTTCGTCGGGCACGCGCTCTGCGTCCTGCCTGCTGCTCTTTGTAGCTCCGTTGCATGCATGCACCTGCATAGTCCGGGCCCCACAGTCCGGGGCCTCTAGGACCGCAAGCGCAATCACTTCTTTCTGCCGGCTACGTTGCGAGATCTCTTCACCACGGAGACGGAGCGCACAGCAACCCGCCCTCGCCCCCCCGACCCAAGCCAGCCTGTCTGATCTGATCTCATCAGAGGTAAACCATATGAATCGGATTACTTTTTGGGGGTCGTCTGCCTTGGATCTGAAGGCTTCATTACCTTCCTGGTGGCAGCAATGGGTGCCCGGCAAGTGGAAGGCCTGCTCCATGTGGCTCTCTGCATGTCGCAAGTGGAAGATTGTCATTTGACGTTCTGATATATCAGGCGTGGACATCGACGTCACCTGCATTTCTCGTGCCCTGAGGCACGGCCCTTCTGCCTTACAACAGGAAGACAAGGGAGGGGAGGGGAGAGTGGGAGGGGTCGACGCGTCCAAGCGTCCACTGGCTCCTTCTGAAGCCCTTTCTTTTCATGCGTAGAAGCTCTTGAGTCGACCGGGGCGTCGCCTCTCGCAGATACCTTCGCTGGCTCAAGCAGAAGGGCTACAAGACCTTGCAAAAGCCTCGAGACAGAGCCAGAGCAGTCGCCACAAAAGGAAGAAGGGAATCCCGGAATCCCCTCACCACCCCCGGTGCCGAGGCCGGAAGAGGAGCAGCCAGAAGCCAACGAGGGCGCGCGGCTCACCGCGGCTTCTCGTGCGTTCTGACTGAAGCGCTTGGGATCGCAGGAAGCCGAAAGGCGGAAGTGGCGGAAGCTGCGGCGAAGGAGGCCCCCACTGCGGACGAGGCGGCCGAGGCCACGGCCGCGGAGGCCGAGGCTCCTTGGTACACGAAGCAGCGGGCAGCTGAGCTTTGTCTCACTTTGGAGCTTCAGGCCCCGTCTCTCTCGCCGCTCTTCTCTCAGGTATCCTGTCAGCTACGTCCAGAGTCTGGCCCTCGGGCTCTGCAGTCCGTTTGTGCTCTCGTCGTGTTTTCACTGAAGGCCGCGGGCACATCCCGTACCACGCGAAGCCGCTGGAAGCAGGACGCTCCGAAGGGCCCCAAGCCGAAAGCCAGAGCGCGGATTGCGTTGATGTCGCTGTTGTGTGCGGGAGCCCACGCGCGGTGTGTGCGGGAGTCTTCCCCTGCGGAAAGAAAGGAGCCTTGCAGAAGGCCCTGGCGAGCGCCAAGGTTTTGGAGAAGGCGGCTGGGAGCGGAGCGGAGCGGAGCGAAGCGCGTGAACCGCGAACTTCGCGTGCGCGCCGCTTTTGCGGCGGCCGCTTAGGTGCTTCAGTGCTTTTGCTTTGCGGCCCCTTTTCGAGGCCGTGCCGGTGAAGAACTCTTCAGCCGCTCCAAGGCAACGGCACTCGCGGCACTGCACGGCACTGCACTGCACTGCACTACTCTTTCCGTGTTTGTGCCGCTCTCATGCTACAGACCGGGCTTCCCTTACAACATCGAGTTTCGCTCCGAGAACGTCCTCTACACGCAGGTGCCTCTCAGTCTCAGTCTCCTGTGAAAACGCGCTTCGGTCGTCTTTGATTGGCGTGCTGATGCATTGTTCTGGATTCTTTGGTGGTCGGCGTATGTTGGCAGGTCGAGGGAAACCGAAATGTGCAATATGATGTGGCCGGGTCCTCAGAGGCTTTGCAGCTGCCGTACTGACAACAGCCTCGGCCTCGTGATGAGGTTCTGCTCTTCAGACTGACGAAGTGGATTCACATCAACTGGGGCGACCTTGGCATCAAGGATCCGCATTTGCCAAAGCTCTTCTGTCTGTTGTGGATAGGGCAGCCGCTCGGGAACCGCAGCGAGCAGAACCCCCCCATGTCGTCCCCAGCAGGGCACTGCCTTTGAAGCTGTCGCACAGTAGGCTACTGGGCTATAGTCCGTGACCATGCTCCAACTTCTCTCGCCAGCGCCTCTTCACCCGCTGCAACGAGTGGCTTCGGCTCGGAGGCCTGCTTGTGCTGGAGGCGCGGCGCGACTGTCGTAAGTGCCTGAAACGGCCCTAGGGCTTTTGAGACAGGGCGGCTCAGATGAAAAACCCTTGCCAGGTGAAGGATCTCGCAGGGCAGCCGTATGCCAAGGAGAACTGCGATCGTCTATCAGAACTTAGGTCCCTGTGGATGACATCCTGGGATCGTATTCGCAGCTCAGCACTCTGCTAAGTTGTCAACGAGCGCATGCTTCTTCAGCTGGCACTCTGTTTCCTATCGGGGTCAGGATGCATCATCCAACGTTTGCCGCAGCGTCGCTTGACAGGTACACCCTTTTGTCAGAACGCCGCATAACAAGATTATGATTACTCATGACCTGGCATTTCCTCCATCATCGTACGTGCTACTGTACGACTTCCATGCAACCATGGCTTAGCAACCGTCACGGTAATCGCTTTGCGTCCGCCTCGGCCCGGGCGGTCGTGGCGCACGTTTTCGTGGGGAAGGGGATTAGAGAGGGGAAAGAGGCTTTTTGGAGGACCGCTTGGGGCGAGGCCGAGGCGGATTAACGAGTACAAGTAGCAGCAAAGGGGGGCTTCCGAAAATAGGGGACCTGGCAGCCCTGAGGAGAAGCACGTCAGCGCGGGCACCCGCCGGGCTCCACAGCAGGGTCGCGCCCTGGAAGACGGCGACCGCTGATATCCCTTCTTCTTCTTCTTCATCATCATCATCATCATCATCATGATCATGATCATGATCATAATAATAACAGTAATAATAATCATCATTATCACCATCGTCAGCATCAGCATCGCCATCATCATCAGCATCGTCATCAATCATCACCATCATCATCATAATCACCTTGACGTGGTCGTCTTCGGCAAGCCGCAGAGTCCCAGAGAGGGTTCTTTTCACCAGTACTCTTTGAATGCTCATGGCTGCGAGAGGTTTCTGAGGAAGCCTTTTGTGGTCTTGAGGTTCATTGGACTGAAGTTCTTGCACCGAGGTGCCACCCGGGACGGTTTGCTGCTCCTTCCGGGGGACTTCGACTGGTTCCTGGCCACTCCTAGCACAGTTCACTTCGTCTGGGGTGCTGTTCGCAGTCCCAGAGTCTCTTGCACAGCCGACCTTTCTCCTGCATTACGTTTCGATGTCTACCTGTGTGATTAGCATCGTTTTCCGCAGAGTTCCTCTGCCAGACCAATGCCTACGGCTTCGAGAAGCTCAGCCCCTACTACATTTTCGAGCAAGGGATGAGGCCATGGTGCTAGCGTCCCCTACTGTGCTGTGATCATCGCTGTCATACTGTAGCTGTTTAGACTGAAAGCGCTGTTTTGTTGCATCAGACCTCTTGTAGCTACACTTATTACCCCCCATTGCTGCCATTGCTGTAGCGTACGTCTCTTGTACCGCCAGGATTGCAATGACCACTGTTTGCCAACAGCAACTGGTGTTAGCACACGTTTCAGTGCTAGAATGTACAAGTACGAAAACTGGTGCGTGTTCTTATTGCTAGCTGCTAGTTGTTATCCCGTTCCCTCTACTGCTACTGCTACAGTGCAGGCTCCCTGCTCCTGCGCCTGCTACTGCTACTGCCACTGCCACCGCTACGGCTCCTGCTAACGCTGCTACACCACGACGAGAACGACGACAACTACCTTCACCTATTGCACACAACATGGCCGTCCGGGCCGTGCCGAAACGGCAACGACCACGATTGCCACCTACTAGGAATCAGAGCCAATCGAACTGATAATCCTCTTCCTGCTACTGCTCTGCGGCTTCAGGAAACGAGCTTTATCCGCCTTCTCCTGTACTGTGGTCTTTTGGCTCCTTTTTTCGGCTTTCTCGTAAGATGTGGCGAGAAGAGCTGTGGAAGTGCAAGCTCTGCCCAGGGCTCCCCTGCAGATCTATCGGAAGGTCGCCAAAGTGCAGGCAAGGGGAGTTAGGGGCCGCAGCTGCGAGCTGTCATGTTTCGCCTGGACGGCTTGGCAGTTGAAGTGTTTGCGTCATGTGATTTGAGAGGCTCTGGACGAAGAGCAGCCACGTCCCGCAGAGGCCATGAGTTCCGCATTCTGTCTTTGTTGGTTTGATTACGGATTGGAAGTGCCGTGCTGGATGCTTGCAGTGGCTCGAGCCCAAAGACGAGGAGCTTTGCATATAACTTGCGACTCCTGGGCGATGCTCA